TACTGGTACCGGTACTGGTACTGGTAGTGGTCGTGGTCGTGGTAGTGGTAGTGGTAGTAGTGGTGGTAGTAGTAGCATTAAAGCAGCCGTAGTAGGTGGAGCCGTCGTGGTCGTCGTAAGCATCGTAGCAGCCCTGCAGCTCTTCCAGCTGCGGCGACTCCTGCCACCCACAATGAGTGCTGCGACTATGTCTTTTTCGGCCACTGCCAGGATGGCAACTGCTGCTGCTACTGTTGCACTTCTTAGCTTCTCCTGATTGGGTTTTGCTTCAGCCTCTGAAACATCGTCGTCAGCTGCGTCGCAGTTGCAGCAGGTTGGTGGACCAGTTGCGCGTGGGCGGAGCAGTACAGCCCGCAGCAGCCACGTGGCTTTCAGGGCTCCTGGGTGGGGCTGAGGGTTTGGGAGTTTTTTCAAGCGGGGAGTTCCTAATCTACGTCACGACACCTCAAAGCCAGTTCTCGGAAGCAGCCCGAGGAGCTCCGTGCTGGTCCGGAGTCCCTGACCGAGAGCCTGGTGAGGGCCGAGGCAAGCTCCCGGAGGACGACAGTGAGCCAAGTTTCGGATTCTGAAAAGAATGCGAACCTGCGAAGAGTGTGCAGAATTTCTGAGGCTTAGGCCGAGCCCTTTTGTACGACCGCCCAAGTTCCTGTCAGGTGCGTCGACAGCTGTCGGAGAGGCGGCCTGTGAGCGATACAGTTATTGCATGTTGCAGCAAAGTTTGCGTCGTGGCTATCCCGTCATGCCCGGCTTTTGTTGAATGGCGACTCAGCATTTGGCCTCCGCTTCTCCTGCGCATGCTTCAGACTCTTGAGCTCGATCTGTCGTTTTTCACAGCGGAGAATGGAGAATGATGGCTCATCAAGCTGGGAGGCCGTCCGCGACATCCAATGAAGCTGCCCCAACAGTTCTGGAGATGATGCTCGACTCCGAAGCTAGCTGTTGTAACAAGTGTACCGTTCGGTTGATTGGGGCAGGGTTCCTTGATGCTCCCGAATGGTGTCGCTATCCAAGGCAAGCACTCTCGAGCCGGCTTGACCGTCTGGAGAAGTGCAACAGCACGTTTACCTGCCTTGCCGTGAGATTCCGTGAGTCGTGTCCAGGAGCATGAACTGATTAGGAGGTGTCCACTTAGATGCGCAAACCTGGCAGGTCTCTTGAGAACGAAGCGGCTGGCCGACAAGAGGAATTCCGACAGCACGCAGAAAACGGCAAATCAAAGGCCAATGCTTCCGTGTCAATGACGAAGAGTGCGCATGGCTCCAGGAGAATAGCAAGATGATCAACATGTTCCAAGAGCTTCTGGGCTTCACTGTTGCGTTCCGTGCAGAACGTGTCAAGATCTCCAAACATAGTAGAGTTCTGAGGATCTCGGCAGAGGCTCGTCAACACCAGGACGGCTTCGGGTTCCAAAGAATCAGAGATCCGTGAGCCTGCAGTTTGAGACTGGCTATCTGCCTTTGCCTGCTACCGCAAGCAAACATCGCCATCTACTTGCAGTTGTGGGCCACATTGCCTGCCGCACACAAGGTTCTGCTGGCTTGTGCCCACTGCCCAGAAGCAACGTCCGTTTCTGTCGTCAGGATGCCATGATCTCAGAGTTGGAACAACGACTCCAGGCCACAAGTCACAAGTGTACGCAGCCACATAAATCATGGTAGCTATGAGCCTGAAGCTCGATTCTGCTCTCTGCACATCATGCCCCTCTACCACATGCTCTTGATCGGAGAGAGTAGGCATGCATGCAGGCGGAGCGCGCTCTGCTATGTAGTATGATATGATGTAACATCATAATAACTTCCTTTCAAGTGGCTTGCGGTGTCGAACCGAAGCCAAGCATTACCTGGCTGTGCAGGGAAAGCTCGAGCAGCTGTCTGCGGAGGCTGGCGTTGGGCCTTCTTGGATTGTAGGTCCAGTTTTGCAACGTTACAATCACATCATGGACTGCCTTCAAGCATCCTGTCTGACGTCTCATCGGCCGCGCGCAAATCTCAGATGTTCAGGTCCAGCAGGAGGTGACTCAGCGCAGAACCTCGCTTGCGAAAGAATCCAAGGCACGGGCAAGATATTGTGCGGCAGATAGAGGGTGATGTGAGGTCAGGAGAAACAAGGACAAAGCATCTGCACAGCTGAGGATTGGAACATTAATTAAACCTTTTAGAGAAGGATGTCGGTTCAAGTCCGTCTGGAGGGTCGCATCGGTGCACGGTGAGCTTGAGATGCGTTGCGTAGTGCGACAGGACCGTGAGGAAACCGCCATGGCGATCTTGCGACTTGGCGATGTTGTCTATCAGACCTGGAGCGTATCAGATGTTTAGGTTGCCTCGCTCAACATGGTGTTACCCGCGAAGATGCAGCAGCATGCAATATTTTTTTGCTGCAACCGGTCTGAGTTGAGGAGCCAGCAACGATTTGTACAACACAGGATCCATGCAGACTGCAGCCCTTGAACGCTTCGGCAGGATTTGCAGCACTTCCCATATGGGCCGGCGGGACCACTGAAGAACCTGAGAAATCGGATGAGATAGAGCGAGGCCGCCCGTGTGTCAGGATAACGACCCCTGCAAATCGAGTGAATAGATGGAGGTCGAATGTCCGGCAGGAAGCAGACCACTGCCGACAGAGGGACCGCAGTTGTGTAGTTGGGACGACAGGACTTGGAAACAGAGGCCAGCTGACTGGTAAGAACTTGACTACAGAACCTGAGACATAGAGGCCCGACTGTGCGGGAGGGGTTCAGCACCTTCAGCCGGATCTGCAGAAGGGAAGGGTTAATAGTTCACGAGGTGGAACAATGGCAGGGGGAAAACATCACATCTCCCCCTTGTAGGTGAACCCCAACACCAATCGAACACAAGGAAGTCTTTGGAGGACCAGCTGGGCAGCGTCGCTGGCCAGCACTGATTCTGAAAGATTGTCATCTTCCGGACATTGGTCGGATGATCTTGAATTGGCCTTTTTCAGTGGCACAGCTTTCTTTGCAGAAATTCCAAGCTAGCCGAGACTTTCCCAAGCCATGTTATGTCAGATATCGCACATGTGCAGAAAGTCACCATTGCCTGCTGGATATGCGCAGCCAGCAGGTTGAAGAGTCTCTGAGACGGCATGCTGCTTGGTACTGCAAATGGCCAACTCACGTGTGCTTGATTGTCGCAGTGCCGAAGCCCGTATTAAGTATGCCTCTCTGCGGGCAATGTGCTCAGCCAAGGGCAGTCTGGCAGTTAGGGAGTGTCTTTGCCTCAGGAGAAGGAGCTCCAGCGCAGCCTCGATGCTGTGCTTGCACTTGTGTGCACGAGGCTAGTCGCAGGTCCAACAAGGTTTTCGTTGAGGCTGCCGACATGGCTATGCTAGTCGCCCATAGGCTCATGGGACACCTCAGCCTCCAACGCATGCTCAGACTGACGAAAGTCCACGGCATGTCAGCATAAACTGCTTTCGGTTGTCCTCAGCTCAGGAAGCTACAGCGGCGGCATTTGCGGAAAAGAACACGAAGGATGCGTGCACGCACACACTCGCACACAAAGTAAGAGTAGCTCAGGTGTCATCAAGGAACGCAGTGTATAGCTGCACCCAGCGAACTCTTTTGTATGGACAGCCGCCCCCTCTACAATTTTTGCTGGAAAGTGGCATACCTAAGTCTAGGTATTCGCAGTTTTACGGCACATCTCTTCCGCCAAAAAGGCTCCTCCCTTGAGATTTGTGTGCATCTGTGAGTGGACTTCTATCATAATTGTTTTCCGGAAGCCCTCAGGAGATGATGACAACACGGCAAGATGTACTGGAGCTGCGTGAGGAGCTCCAGGACCATAAGCATTTGGTGGCGATAGAGAGAGGCGAAGTGAAGAAAAGATTTGTGCCAGGAAGTGGCTCGAACTGGGCGCGAGCGACTCGAGGAAGCTGTCGTGCGCCTGAATGCGACAGCTCCATGCCTTCAAAGACATGGCATAGGCGCGAGTCGGAATGGTCACATTGCCTCATTGCAGATGAATTTCGGAGCTAGGCCCAGGCCACATGAAATCTAGATGCAAGCTTACGTGCAGCAAAACCTTGGAGCCTCACTGAGGCTCCTGCACGCGGTGACGCGAGCGTTGAGGCAGTTCGATGGCTTCGAGCTGTGACCAGGGCGGGTGAGAGAGGAAAGCGCCCTTGCAGTAATTCAAGGTCACTCAAAACTGAAGTCTTTTTATCGCTTCAACTTTCATGGATTCGCAGGTGAAGGCACGGGAAGAACTTTGGACCGACCTGGCTGCTCGGCAGGATCTGCACCGTTCATGCGCCTTTCCATGCTGCACCGACGGAAATCCAGTTATCAATGTTTGTGGAAGTCCTACAAGTGGCAGTGTTCTTTTGTGCTTGCATGGGCAAATCGGTGCCTAAACGCTCATGGATGGTGTTTGCATCAGAACGGCTGGATAAGGATCAACTTCGAGGGGAGCTGCGGGTGGAATCCGCCACGCGGAAAGAAGACGTCCAAGGCGGGGCCTACCGATGGCCTTAAGAAGGAACGATGTGAGAAAGGCATATAGTCTATTTTGTCTACATGTACATTTATGCAGGGGTTCAAGGTCCATGGCAACTGGGATTTATTGACCTGACCCTTGAATCTGCTTTGGCCAGGTGTTCGCTCCAGCCTCGACCGCCTTCGGGAGCAGGCTGCAAGCGCAGCGGCCGGTGATCAATTGAGGGGCATCGTTCGAGGATGCAATGTTGTCGCGGCATGCTTAGGGTTTGGAAGCACCGAACTTGATGCTACTAGACCCTGTTAGAAGATCCCTCTTTCGAAGATGGATGCTCTGCTCCTGTCAAGAGCTTGTCGGTATCCTGGCGGGCCTAGCATTGCCGAGCATGAGACGAAACTTTAAGAACTGCTTGACCTGCCTGCCTGCGTCTTGCGAGCCCCGAACTAAACTGCTGCCACGACGGCTGGGCCTTCTTTTGCCGGGCGAAGAAGCTTTTCGAGCAAACGCCAACAGAGGCACGAAGCCTGAACAGTGGGAGTTAATCAGCGAGCACGGTTCACATGTCTTCTGCACCCCCGGGAAGCCCTCTGAGCTTCCCGACGCTAACTTGCCCTGACTGTTCCGACGTCGGCGCCCTGCGTTGCACAAGTCCGCGATTTGCAGGTCGTCGGCTCGTCAATGTTTAGTGCAGCAGCCTCAGCGGAAGCTCAACACTTCTTCGGAGTGACAAAAGCAAAGGAAAAGCACAGTGAGAAGTCACCTCCGGCCTTGTGCTTTCGAGGGTTGCTGTCGCCATTGCTTTGCGGAGTGCTGGAGAAATCGCAAATCCTAAACTTCCATCCAACGCTGAACATCCCGAACAGAAGCACAGAAGGAAAGGTGTAGAAATCATCTAAGACGAGCATCTGAGCCCCACACGTGGACAACTCCGAGGTGCAGGAGCTCCAGAACGCCCTCAACTCTGAGCGCCTTGCGCGTGAACAGGGCGACCACCTGTGCCAAGAGGCCTTGCGTGAGCTCCGAGAGGACTGGTGGGATTGCCGGGGTCTGGGCAGTTTGCCTCCGAGGTTTTGCAACACCTCGTCCCCTTTCAGTGCTGTACTTCTTGGAGATGGAAACTTGAAACAGCCGAGCCGGGGGCAAATTCTTGCATCCTGTGGTGCTGTGCCAGGACCACGGCGCCTCTGTGCAGGGCAGCCCCGCTGTTCACAGCAACGGGAAGGCAGCCAGGCAAAAGTAGTGGAACCAGAGATATGCCGCAAAAGGCAGACGTCAGTCATTCCCCAACAGTGGATATGCTTATGGGATCTACAATGAATCTACAATCTTTAACACGCAGGCACGGTGACAAATTCCCCAACAGCGGACATGCTCATGGGATCTACAATCTTGAACACACAGGCACGGTGACAAAGTTTCGGAATACGGGTTCCCGACACTGTACTTAAGGATGTGTGTGTGTGTGTGCGTGCGTGTGACACTAGAAGCTTGACTTAGCGTCTGCAAACAGAAGTCATCTATCCTTGCGCGGCACGAGATGAAGATATCTCGGGAGCAAACCGCGCAAAAGGCACTAGAGTGTTTGAGAAAAAGTGCAAGATTTAGCTAAAGTTTGTGGCAAACAGGAGCAGAACCCCTTAAGAACCTGCTTGCTGCGCTGTAAAACATGACATGAAATGCTGTAAAGACCCAGGGAACCCACAAAGAGCGCACCTGAATGCTGAAAAGACCAGGGGAGACTACGAGGAGCTGACATGCAGCAACAACCGAGGGAACCCACTGCGACATACTGTGACACCCTTGGGTAATGTAAAATCGAAACATGGGGGAGGGGCCGGGGGGAGGGCGTGCGAAGAAAGGGTTGTTGGTATGTTGTTGGCAGTCAACACCCGGGTTGGTCCAAAACATTTCCACGTCGCGTACATTTCTATGCACAGCACGGACCAATTCTGTCAGGAGGTCTATCTTAGCCACCAAAAACCTTTTCCCAATCTCTGTCGCAGTGCCTCCTGAACATGGTTTAAGGAGATGTATCGGAACCCGTACACAGTTTTGGAAGCTCTTTTCATGAAGACATGTTTCTGTTTCTTTGCGCGCAGAGAGTCACCCAAGTGTGCTCGCGGCGTGAGCAACTACACCAGCCAGTCTTGTCGCATGAAGACATGTCTTTTTGCACACAGCGAGAAATCCAGTGTGCTTGCAGATCCAAATTGAGAACACAGCAAACTTTCGCATTAAGACGGTTCTTTGAGCACTGTGAGAGATCCAAGCGTGCGAGAACGCAGCAGCTCGGCAAGATCCAGAACACAGCAGCTTCGCCGATACAGCCGCATGTCTATTTGTCGCGTTCAGGCATATGCACATGTCTTTGCGAAGGGTATAAAATGTGGGTTGTTTGCAAATGAACATGTCCATGCACACCCACAAAGATCCAAGTGCGCATGCGCTGCGAAGCTGCATAACGACGTGTTACTCCATCGCTGTTGGGGTGTAATCTGTCAAGCTGCCTGGTACAGATTCTTTCTGTATCTTGACGGCCAGTGGCATTGGCGATTTGTTGGTGACTCGTCACTCGGCTGAGGACCCTTCTTCCCCATATGCCGACATCAAGCAGGCACGAGGATTTAGCATGGGCTGACTTATCAACCTTCGTAACGTCTATGCAGTGTGACATTTTCACAGTGGCGAGCTGCAGGAGACCATGCTGCTTGAATCTGTGGTTGTGTTCGCAATCGTACCATGCGTTTGTTTCCGCACTTCAACCATTCCTGTATTTTCCTACCGCGAGGTGCAGCCACTCCCCCGACCAGCCACGTCTGCGGTGCTTGGAGCCTGCCGCTCCCCTCCAAGCGGCCTCTCGGCTTCTCTGGCCGGTTCTTCCGCCATCGCACCTCCACGCTCGATCCAGGTCTCGTGCTGCCAACTCGAGAAGCCACGTCGGCGGCGCCGACTGCCATGAATCTGTCTGCTGTGAAGACTCCCTCCATGACGTGGCACGGCGATGAAGCCAACCTGACAACCAGTCTGTTTTTGGGATGACATTGCTCTCATACGGTCCACTGTCGGGACCTTCCTCGGGTGTCGGTAGCTATGGAGCTACGACTCCGGGAACGGCACTTCTGTCATGTGATCTGAATCTCGGACACCCATTGGACTTTCACAGTGATGTAGGATTCGTTCCGCATGCGCAGCACAGGTTGTGTTTTGCATCATTAGAAGCACCTGCGCATTTCCAGAACAGTCGTGAGTTCAGAACTATGTTCTCGAAGGCAAGGTTTAGTGGATGATATGCCTTGCTTTGTTCCCGCATCAACCGAAGGCACCCAAGCTTCTCAGCATGAGGCGCAGAAGCGGGCGGCTAAGAATGTGAGTGTAGATGCTCTCAACTTGGCAGGGTTGGTCTCCAGGCAAGGCAGGTTCAGGAGATCCTGCAAAGATTGTTGGGAAGGTCTGGTCATGCAGACTCAGACTTACAGAGTTCTACAGTCACTGTGGCAGTGTGATCGAGTCCGAGCGCTGCCACTTTCTTACAACAGAGGTCTACTAGGGAGATCCTATGGGTTCGCCCTTGCGCCTGTTGATGTGTGTAGGCCCCACAGTGTTGGAGTATGTTTGAGTACTAGCACTCAAGGCGCTGGATTGCCGAGATGTGTGGTTTCGCTTGTTTGGGGAAGAAGTGCTCCCAATCTCGAGGAGGATCATGCAGTCGATCTGTGGCAGGTCGGGGTCGAGCCCAACTGGGAGATCCGGGGAATGCTGTGAGCAGAGATCCACGGAGATACATGCTTGGCCGGGTTCTGGCCACTTCACTCGCTTCATGCAATGGCATTTCTGGTACTGTCTTATACCATAAAACAGCAATGTAGACCTAACAGTTCCGGTCATTCTCCTCAGAGTCGGAGGGCAGCACGAAGTCTGCACTTCTGGCACTCTACATGAGTGGGTCCTTGGCCTCGAGCGGTCTGCTGGGACACCTTTCATCTTCCTGCTGAGCAGCCACAAAGGTCACCTTCGCCTCTGGAGAGTTTCGGAATATAGGGTTTTACACGGGTTTACACTGAAATTTCAGTAGTACGCACGCCGCAATTTTATGCAAGCAGCCTTCCACAAAGGCTTCTAGATTCTTTGGCGCTGATTCTGCCGGGACACATGGGCGACCGCTGGCATCCTGCACTGGTATCTTTACATGTCGGAATCAATACACAGCGCAGGAACATGACATAAGTTGCAACCTTATCATCGAGAAACGATCACACATGTAGATGTAACTGCGAATGTATACAATGGCTCGTGCGCATGGAGGAAATATTCTCACACGTGCATGCATGCATAAGTGAATGCGTACATGCATGCATTCAGACGTTGGTACACTCACTCAATCCATGCATACACTACATGACATGCATTCATACAGTGATACATACCTTAGTTCAGTTCGTCCGTGCGTTCATTCATTCAGTCCTTCCGTCACTCCTTCGTTCCCTCCTTCATTCATTCGTGCGTTCATTCATATTTGCATTGCATTTGCGACATTGCCTTACATTACATCATATCGCACTACATTCGAGAACACGCACGCGCTCGCGTGCACAAGCGGTAGATGAGGTGCCATTGATGGAGCTTTCAGCTACACATTGAAGTTTCCGGTCGTAAGAATTGTAACGTGAAGAGCTTAATTAATGTGCCTCGTAGGTCTTCACAGCAAGGAGAGTTTCCCAATGAGATTCCCTGCAGCCTCTGCCCTTGAAACAGGGGGGCAGCTGCTGCTTGAAATGCACAGCAACAAGCTGCTGTGGGACTAGCACCAGAAATAAACCATGTTCACTTCAATAGCAACAACTTTTATGTTCCTGTGCCACGGCTCTTGGTGCTACCTCCCGCTAGTCGAGAGATCGAGGCGACGAGCACCCGGCACTGCTTGGCTTATCTAATTCCTTTTGGGGGTGCCAGGGGGCATATTACTTAAAGGGACGGAGTGAGTCAAAGCCGCGCTCTATCTCTTTGGTTGCGCAGCACCCAGAGTGTTGCTGCACGCAGTGAGAAGACAGCAGCACACACAGCTGCCAGACTAAAACTTATCCGCCTGATTGCGGGACTCCCGTGGGTCTTGATTCAAGCAACTGTAGACATGCGGGCGATTTGCACTGCTCTGTGCCGCTCCCCGACTCAATACTTTCTCTGACGTTCAGGTTGTGCTGTTCAGAGCATTAATTTCGTGCAGGCCAGTGAAGCATGCTCAGCTTTCGGGCTCAGTCCCCTGGAGTCCGATATTGCCATTGTCACCGAGCTCCGGAGATGACCAATCGAGACGGTATTCTCAACCTCTGTAGGCCCTTTCTCGTGACAGGATCACACCTAAGAAACAACCTATGCTACATAGCCTCGGGTGAGACCAATAACAGCTGTTCCACTCCACAGAGACCACTGGAATCTGCGCCATGAAGCCTGCCAGCGGGCCGATGCGGCCCACTCCCACTCTGCCAGGGAAGCCGCCAGACTTGACTCGGAACAAGACCCTCTAGAAATCCGAGACGGCCTCTAACCAGCGCGCTGTTCGCCTCAACCCTCGCCTGGTACTAAAGAACCCTGGGAGATTTGAACTTCACCAAACTTGAGCAAAATCTCAAGATCAGAGCCGCTTCGGGGCTGAAAGACTGGGCCAGGCGACTGCAAACCTGGCCGGTGTTGCTCCGGTGCCTTCACCCGGGTTTTGAGAGTCCAGCTTTGCAGAATACCATATCTAGATGAAGAGATGTAGATGCGATGTTCCAGCCGCACGTGCTCTCTCGGAGTCACGAATAGAACTGAGGCCAATGGTCGTCCAAGCGCCCTGCCCTTACCAACGGGCGCTGCCACAAGGAGCCGCCAGGCAAGACCCTTCGATCCGCTTCTGCATGAACGGGTATGAAGGGGAGAGCTCTACTGGAACGACAAGGACGTGGTAGTCGTCTCCGGGACACAGACAGAAACGGATAGGCAGACGGACAAAGAGACAGACAGACGGATAGAGACAGTCTCGCCGCAGCTAGGCTCCGAGAGCCTCCTGCAACTGATTTTTAAATTGTAGGCCTGTGCGCACACGGCTTTCACACACACACAAACACACAAACACACAAAAACACAAACACACAAACACACAACGAACACACAAACACACACACACACACAAAAGCACAAACACAAACACACACACACACACACAAACACAAAACACACAAGCATACACAAGCACACGCACACACAAACACACACAAACACAAGCACACACACAAACACACACACACACACACACACAAGCACACACACAAACACACACCCGCACACAAACACACACACACACAAACACACAC